ACACTTTTTTTCATCGCGTGCGCGACGAAATTTTCTACGGCGTCTTAATTAAACGAGCCTAGGCGATCCCTAGCGCGAGCTTCGTTTTTGTCTCTCTCTCTCTCTCTCTCTCGTGTGCCAAACTTGCCTGTTCGAGTTTCCCCGAACCGTTCGTTTGTTTCGTTGTTGTTCCACTTGGCCTGGGAAACTGTCCGCCCGCGGGAAACAGCTAAATACACCGAGGAGCAGGAGAAGATTCTTCTCGAGATTTTTTTCTTCTTATTTTCCGAATTGACTCGTATCGCGGGGGCGAGGCTCGATGGCGAAGGTCCGGTTTTCTATCGGAGAGGTTTAATTAAATTTCTCCTCACCACGAGAGGAGAGAGAGAGAGAGAGAAGGCTCACTCAAGATTCAAGACCGGAACGGACGGGCTGGCGCGAAGCGTTCGTGGAATTTCTCTGAAGAGTTCAGGCGGTAGCCACGAAACGAAAACGCTCCACCGGATACAAGACCAGTCTTCATCCGGTTCCCACTCGCCTCTTCTTCGAGATTGGAGATGATTTATCTTCCCTGCGATTATGTATTGCGACAAGCTTGGATCCCTTTTCCCGTTAGATTCGTACCCGCTCTGAAATTCGGTCTTTGACACTTTGAAACTTTGCATGTATAGCCTAAATAAATAACTGCTCGAATTATATCGGTAGCCTCGAAGCGCCGTACTCGAAACAGACTCTCGAGAGTCCGACAACAGCGCGTCGCTTGTCTGTCTCTCGTCGATTTACTCGTCCTCATCCTCGTCGGATAAGTTTCCGCCTCCCCGGTTTCCTTCGTTTTCGTTTATTCCTCTCCATCCTTCTTTCCCCTCTTTTTCATCTTGTCCATCGAGAAAGATTTAAGTGTTTAATAACGGCCGCCTTCGTCAAGAGAGAAGATACAAGCATCTCGAGCATCGTTCAGCCTTCGAAGCATTTTTATTTCTCTGCCCCCCCGTATTTTTCGTCTCTATCCAGCTACAGAGGCTGCTCTGCCTCTTCGTGAATCGAGCATCTTCCACGGTCGAGGACGTTTATTAATCGGGGCGACGCGCGACCATGGCAAATGAAAGAAAATCAAGCGAAAAAGGAAGGAAGGAGATTGCAACGATATAAGAGTAAGAATAGGTTATCCTCGGGGAAACAACGAGACAAATCTTGGCCACGCTAGAACTATCGACGATCGAAGAGAGAGATCGAAGTGACAAAGGTGGAGAAACTTTACGATACAATATGGACTGTACAAGCTTTTTGTTTGTATACTTTGGTGTTAAAAAATACGCTGTTTCACGTCCACGTCACGAAACGTTCCAAAATGAAAATTATAAATTGGTCGGTTTCGATCAGAGTTCCAGTGTTAATTTCTCAAGTACCGCGAACAGGATGTCTATCTCTTTCTCCCAATGATATTCGGACGCGAGACTATCGAAGAAGTTTCTATCGTTCCGTTCTCGACGAAACAAAATGCATC